GCATTGGATTCATTGTCATCGCTTTGGTTCGGTGTATTGATTGTGATGTCATTTGTTTCGACATTTCCGAATTTATTGTTTTGAATTATTGATTGCAGTTCATTTTGAACTGCCTCAATAATTTTGTCACCAACGAATTTAGACAATTTGGATTTTTCATTGATATCTCGTTGTTTCTCCTCATCGACGCATGCATTACAATTGTATATGAATGGTGAACAGCCTTCAAACAATGAATGTATGTTTACGCTTTTTTGGTCGCCTGTATATTTTTTTTTTCTTCGTCAATTATTATTAGGCCTAAGCCCTTTAATAATTTTGTCGCATATGGTGAATTTATGCATTCGACAAAAACTTTTTGTTTGCATTTACTGCAAATCAAAAATTGGCCTCCAAATTGTGAGCCGGTACACCTTTTTTCACTGCAATTATGTGTATCGCACATGTCAAATAGCAACAACAAAAACAATCACCTTCAATCCAATTCAATTTTTCCAACAATACCTCAATGATTCCGACTAAACTTCAATTTTTCCTTATTGTGCACGTATTTTTCAGTATTTTGTTCCTATTTATTTTATTTGTTTGTGTTATTTTCTATTTTTAATTATCGATTTTGTGTAAATATTTAAGAGCACTTGAAAAAAAATGAACTGTCAAAGTCAGCTGTCTCTCTTTTTTGGGACATCGCTGGCAATAACTCGCTAATAACGCGATGAATATTGGCCTTAGAAGTGCTTAATCGTTTTTATCTTATCCGCATAGACCATACACTTCAATTTGCTACACAAAAAATGTTCCAGGGTCATCAGATCACACGAGGAAGATGGTCAACCAACCTGAGATAATTTTCTTTAAAATCAAGGTTTTCGACCAACCGATAGATTAAGCCTCTGTTTGGAAAATTTTGGTTTTTTATTGGAACTAAAATGGCTCCGGATGATGACTGGTAATATTTTGAAGCAAACAGTCATCAACAATGGCATTCATGGTCGTAATTTTGGCGCCAGGAGAAGTTTTAAGAAAAATGTTTCAGAAATGCCGACGGTGTATAAAATGTCACTTTTGGTCAGCTAAAGTGTCATTATTTGTACTGAAATGAAGAATTCAGGACTTCCACTAGTTTTCCATGTCTTGAAATGAACCAGAATTTCTTTTTTTCAAACCCATTTATCAAATATTATAGAATCTGTTATGATCAAAAATTGACCAAAAAAGGACTGAATAATTGGCCTATGTAAAAATTGGCCATGGCGACTATATGCCAGAAATCTTTTTCAAACCATAAATGGCAGAGATTTTTCTACCAAACAAAGCAATTTTCACGATTAAAATAAAAAATTGTTGTGATTTACTATTGTGGACAAAAAATACCGGTAATTTATTAATAAAATTTCGCGCGGAAAAGTAATCATGAAAACCTTCCGACTATAGGTTGGTAGCACTGTCTTTGGCATTGTCTCTATGAGGTTTTTGGTTACATTTGTTTGTTTACACCGATAAATTTTCATTTGGCGATTCTGCTGCAGAAACGTTAAGGACGTTGGAGAAGGCCTTCGGTGAACAGGCCATGTCGCAAAAGAGAGTGTATGAATGGTACAAAATGTTCAAAGAATGCAGAGAACGTGTGAAGACGAACATCGGCCGGGAAGACCATCAACATCAACTGATGAGAAACACGTCAAGCAAATCAAAGATCTTGTGCTCAAAAATCGTCGATTAACGTCTAGAGACCTTGTCGATATTGTTGGCATTTCAAAAGGATCGATTCAAACAATTTTGAAAGACCATTTAGGCCTCAGACGTTGTGCTGCTCGATTAGTTCCAAAATCATTGAATTCCTTTGAAAAAGAGGGACGTGTTAATGTGTGTCAAGAAATGATTTCTGACTATCAATCGGCCATGAAATGCATCATTACGGGAGATGAGACTTGCATTTGTGCATACGACCGAAACTGCCGATCAGTCGAGCGGATATCGTACCAAAGGCGAATCAAAGCCGAAAAAACCACGACAAAGCAAGTCCAATCTCAAGGTTATGTTAACTCTTCGATTATCGTGGTGTGGTGCATTCAGAATTTCTTCCAACTGGCCAAACTGTTAACATGGAATATTATTTGGGTGTTATGCGTCGTTTGCGTGAAGCGATTCGAAAAAAGCGGCCGGAATTATGGACAGACAACTCGTGGTTTTTGCATCACGATAATGCACCGGCTCATACTGCATTAGTTATTTGTGATCATTTCGCCAAAAATTCAATTCATATCATTCCGCAACCACCCTATTCGCCTGACTTAGCACCGTGTGACTTTTGGCTATTTTCTACACTCAAAAGACCACTCCGGGGACACCGTTTCGAGTCGATAGAACGCGAATCGCTATGTGTTTTGAAGGCTATACCAGAAAGTGACTTCACACACTGTTTCGAGGACTGGAAAAAACGTTGGCGTATGTGCATTGCAGCCGGGGGGATTACTTTGAAGGCGACGAAATCGATTTTGAAGAATAAATAAAGAGTTTTCATTTTATTAATAAATTACCGGTATTTTTTGTCCACAATAGTACTTTAAACTTAGACACTTATATTCGTTTTCACTTTTAACTCGAATAATATAAATACCAACAGATTGAGCATTTGATGATTTGGATTTGCTTCCTTAGCGGCATTTCGTTCCACTTTCAGTTGTCGGTGGCTCTTTTGTGTCACAACCATTATCGGCAATTCAAAGGCTGGTTTTGGAACACAATTATGGCACGTCTTGAATCGATCACTTCTTGTGTGTTGTGGATATTGGTTTCCACATCTTGGGCATATTTGTGACGCATAGTCTTCTCCCACGTTTCTTCTTAACGCTTTTCACAAATTTCCGTGTGCCCGGACAGCGGACGTGCTTCTTGATTCTAATCGGTGAATTTGGTGAAATCTCATCAGCACCCATGTAGAATAGGCATGCTTTGTTGTTCGTTAGCCGATTCACAAAATTCTCCATTGCTCGATTCTCCTCAAGGTATTTATCAAATCGAAAACGTGCATATTTTCATGGTGAAGAAATGTGTAAACAATCAAAGTGCTATTTGTGAAACTAACACAATTTGATGTTTACAACCAGCAACGCTTACACATTTTGCCACCGGAGTACATGGCGCCAATAATCATGTTCTGGCAGTTCGTCCCTATGTGAGAAACGTATGTTTCTATGTCACGTTTTAACATTCGTAGGCGATGAAGATTGTATGGTAACCATTGTATACCTCGTGGAGATGGTGTTTTGCCCAAATTCAGTGAATTCCCGACTAAAAAGATTCATTTTCTTGTTGCGTTTTGGATATTCGGCTTCGCAATGACAGCGCTTACTACTGACTTTGATGATTTCCTTATTGGTTGGGATTAAAAGAAAATAAATTGTTTCATTGTACATATAAATTGCCGATTGATCAAATATGATGAAATTTAATGTAAAATAAGCAAATTACAACTAACTTCTTTGCAACGTTGCATGTCTACGTGATTTAATGTGCGTCCTACTCTGGCATGCCATGTACGCATACCTGGATATGATACCGCTGACTTTTGGAAAGTGGTTTTTGCATATTTTAGTAGAGTATGGGCACCAAATTAAGATGCCGCACAATTTAAAAAAAAATCAAAATTTGGCCGCCAGGTGGCATTTTGAAAGAATCCCAGAAAATTCATTTTTTTCGATTTTTGACCAACGAAATTATTTTTTCGAAAAAAATGCGGCCATATGCGGGATCGCGTGGTTAATGTTAAAAAGAAGATCATCTTGATCGGTTAAAAAGTGGCCGAGATATGGTCAATTGGTCAAAAATGGCCAAAAACCTCAAATTTGGTCAGATGGTATGTTTGTATGAAAACTTTTTTTTCCATACTTTTTGAAAATAAGTTTTTAAACCAATTTTTATTGAAAGTAGATAGAAAACTGAGAATACTCGTTTAAAGCCAATACGACTTCAGTAACGCGTATTAAATTAATTCATCATAATTCACATCATCGCTGCTTTACGGAATATCATCCGTTGAGTTCACTGCGAACTTTCGTGCATCTAATGCATGTTTTTGCTCACAGCCATAGACAGTCCAAGAAAATTCGCACAAAAGAGAATGAAACATTTACATATGGCTACTTGATGGTTTTTGACCATGTCGCAGTGAATTCTACTGCTGACATTCGCCTAAGCAGCGAAGATGTGCCGAGTGTACTCGAAGCGTGAATTCTTCTAATAATAATTAATTAAATCCGTATTGGTTTTAAACGAGTATATGTGCTTTTGAAATTTTCGATTTCGTCTCGCATGTCTCTCATGTAATTCAATTACGAAAATTCTTGTATATGTTTTTTGATGTCTTTAGTGATGCTCGCGAATCCTTTTTTATGGGCATCAAAAACGCACTACCGACTGAAATGTTTATATTATTATCCGTCGTTAACTACCAACCTTTTACAACTTCATAGTCGCAAGCAAAGTGCAATAATGTTTTTCCTCTTTTTGTAATTTAGTCCTTTTTATTAATTATTCAGCAAACTTAAACATAAAGGACGAGAAAATGCAATGAAATAGGATGCCAGATGAATTCCTATATATCTCGAATGTTTGCAAGAACACTTGATGCAAACTTGGATGTGTGATAAACATATCATCTAGATGTTTATTTTTGATATAATTATCTTATTTTTAGAGTTTTTTAAAAGTTAATATTTATTTGATTATGATAGAAATAGAATTGAAATTTAATAAAATTTGATCTTTATTCCACTAAACAGTACTTTTGTAGAAATACGTATGAGTGAATATTCACAAAAATAAAACTTCAAATCATGCTTTAAATCGCTTCACTTATTACATGAATTATATCGTGTGAGTGCGATCTTACAAAAACATACAATCGTCTACAATGTGTATGCGTGTCTTTTTATTCAATAGTTTGTTGTACAAAAGCGGTTCTTTTTATTCACAATTTGAATTTTTTTTACATGAAGTAGGTGGAAGTCGGCGACCCAGAACTGTTGAACAGAATAACAATAGCAATTTTAACGAGTAAGTAATAACTTGGTCATTTGTAAATTGAATTATATGGCAAATTAGCCAATTTTAAAACCACAGCACAATGTAAAATAATTTAACAAGAATGCAATTATATTCAATTTATTTGCATACTAAAAAGGAAACCATCTGCACATCTTGCGGTCGATTTAGAAGAGAAACCTCTGCTCTATGAGTACTTTTCGAATACATTAAATCCCGTTATTGATCGTCGAAATTTTGATGAACTTGACAACCATTTGGGAAAACGTAGCATTGATACAGAATCAGACCGATATTCACCAAAACGTTTCTTCCTCGAACGACCACGGGCCTTACCAACCGTACAAGAACAACAACAAAAACAAGTAAGAGGGGTCCAATCAAAGTACATATAACATAATTAACCATTTTTGCATTCGATTAACTATTGAAATAAAAAACATATAATTTTAAAGGAATTAAGCAACAAAATATTATTTTTTATTTATTTCCTTTAATTTTCTTCTGGTTTTTTTTTTCGTGTCTCTTCCTCTCATACAATAGCATAATTTTCATGAGGTAAACAAGGCTGACTATCAAGAGTACATGAAACGGATGTTGAACGATGAACGAATCATGCCAATGGTAAAGAAGAATTTCGACGAGATTGATCGTTTTGGATTAAATCGTTTTGTACAAACATCGCCATATCATTCACTCTGGAGCAAGCGGAACATTGACGAAATTGACCGTTTGGTGCCACAAATTTTCACCGATAACAAGCGCGAAGAAGCAAATAATTATATGCCTAGAGGTGGCAAATATTCGAAATATGTCTGAACACCATTGTAACCAATCAAACCCGCGCTTTGCGAATTGATAACCTACATGTGGACAAAGACAACATCAATGGACTTTCATTTCTCTGTATTTTAAATGGTATCAGCCGCTGCTACGGTTGAACACAAAAAAGAAACAAAATAACAAGTCACAACATTTAATTTCTATTTTAATTTCTGTTGATAATGAAGTACACAAAATTTAAAAAAAGCTAAAAAGAAGCTGTATTGTAAATGTGGTGCCATTAATATTATATCGCGAATTGATTAATTTGTAAGTTAGCTATGACTCACAGCCTGTGAGCAGAGTGATTATATAACACTATAGCTACTAATTGACTATTTGACAAATGAAGATCTTGTTAAAATCATGTTTTATGTTTAACAAAAAAAAATTAAAACAAAATCGATTGAAGGGAATATTACGGACTACTATGATTGTGATCATTAATAAAACAAGAGAGTAAAGGATATTCATGTTTTGCATTGAAGCATACGCTTACGTCATTCAATTTATTTACCAGAAGACGAAAAGAAATTTAAAAAAAAACATATTTCGATGTATTCAATGTACTTAAATACTCGTTAAATAACTATTATGTAATTCGGAATTTGTTTTTCATTGAGGACAAAAGAATGATTAGGCAAAAAACAATTATAACAAAAATGAATTTAATTATACTCCCCTAAATTGTGTATCCATGTTTAATAAACTTACACTCACACTCACAACGCATTCGAAATATTTAATGTATATTTATTTTATTTGTTTTCATTTTTTGTTTATTTGTTTGGAAATTGAATTTATATTGCGACCCGTGTGAAATGTTCAATTCTTGAATATATACAGGGTGTGTCTCATATATCAGGGTCGAAGAGATGGCTGGGAATATCGAAAAACCCTTTGGGAGGTATGTTGGGGGTAAAAAGTAGAAAATTTCTATCGGTGTAGAATTTTGAATTTTTCCTCAGGTAATTTGGCAAAACTTAATCGGATCAAAAACTTATGTACTATAAAGTTGTTTAGCAGTGATGGTTTCTCGTTAACCTGCATTGTATTAGCCTTGGCTTACACCAACTAGTGTATGCCAATAGTTAGCCAGCTATCTGACAACAGAGCTGGGCACGAACAGTCGGTCGCTCGTTCGTACATTGAAAAAATATGTTTTTGTGGTCGGTCGTTCGTTCGTTGAAATCATAAATGATCGGTCGGTCGTTCGTTAAAATTGAAATGTTCGTTGTGTTCGTTCGTATGTGCCATCGAACACCGAACACGTCCGGACGTCCGGATGTTCGGCGCAAAAATTGTCAAATCGAGTTTGCAATTCTCTGTTAAATATTTTGAAATTGTACAAAAAATCAAGGGGAAAATCGGTACTGAAATACTAAATATACTCAGAAGTATTGAAAAGTACCGAAAAGTACCGAAACGTATCAAAACATACCAAAACGTACTAAATAGGTATTCGTTTCAAAAAAATAGTGAATAATTTTTCATGTTTTCGACTGTCTTTTTGGTGTTACATGGCAAGCTTGTATGAAACTCTCGGAGACTCGGTATAATGCACAAAAAAAGTGAATTTTTTTTTTCGATATTTTTGTGCACTATACCAAGTCTCCGAGAGTTTCATATAAGCCTGCCATGTAGTAGCAGAAAGACAGTCGAGAATATTGAAAAAAAAAATTCGTCTTTTCGACTGTCTTTCTGCTACTACATGGCAGGCTTATATAAAACTCTCGGAGACTTGGTATAGTGCACAAAAATATCGAAAAACATTTTTTCACTTTTT